TCATGTTCACACGGTTTATACAACAATGTCAATTTTTGTTCATTCTTGTCATAGTATGAGGTGCAAGCGCTCAAGAAACTTCGTTTGGTTTTGAAGGGGAATGGAAAACAAACTCCGTAACGAATTATGGAAACGGATCGTTTACCTCGTTTGAATTTCTCGTTGGGATACATCTTTTTCAGAGCTTCAAAATCATAATACGCAAGTTCGTCGCAACTGGTAATATTGGGATCGTATCGGTGCACGTGAAATCCTGGCATGCAACATTGACGAACGGCCTTATTGGTAAAAATTAAGCAATCGATTTGGGAGTCGCACAAATCAAGAGTTAACAATCGGAGTAAAGACATTTGGTTACTACTTACATCCTGTTATTAATTGTAAAATTCGAATGGTTGTCATGAAAATTATGAAAAATTACATGAAAAAAATGTTATCAACCATGATGTACTACTACTTACAAAAGGATGTGGTAAAATTCCCCACCACTTATTCGTTTGCATCTTTTGATAAATTCCAACATTAGGAAAGAGCATCTTTCCAGAAATTTTGTACACATTAATACTTGGTTCTTTCGTAGATCCAATTAATTTCCAATTATAATCATCCCGTGCCAAATATTCCATAAATTCAATATCTCGATCAAAGACCATTGGCAACTTGAAATCATCATCCGTGTAGGGAAAATAGGTGGCTTCCTTCAATCGACCAATCTTATTCAAATAGGTCACACCTTGTTGCTGTACACATTTGAGCCACAATTCACTTCTCACAAATCGAGGAAAACTGTCATTTTCCAATTCGAAAAGAACTGAATTTTTCACAGTTCTAAATAGCAAGTGAGGTAATTGTGGCAAGACCCACTCATCAAAATTTTGGTATTGCTTGTATTGCCAAAATAAATTGACATAGGTCGTCTTGTCACGAGAGGAAATGTTAATTTCCTTTTTTGAATCTTCCTCAATAAATTCTTTCATAATTTTTATGGCACTCATGATGATTTTTCGCTTCATACTGTTGATACTTTCTTGTTTGGAACGAGGTGTATTCATTGGAAGTGCCATTCGAGAAAGAGCTGAAGGAGTAACTTCTTCAGAATTTGCATTTCGTTGTTCTTGCCCATGGCTATCATTTTGTTGGTGAGGAATTGGTGAGCTGGAATTTTGCGTGTCATCTATTGCTGCTGTTGATTCTTGTGGTGTTACTGAGGAGTTCACTAAATTTGAACAAGTATCGGAAATTTCGTCTTCCTTCTTGGTCAATGCACTCAATTTTAAACTCAATCGTGGCAAACTTGGAGCTGGGTTACTAGAACTGACCTCACTCAAGTCGCCACTTTGATCCAAACTAGATGTACTATTCTGAGCTCGAGCTGTTCTCGATTCACCTTGATTCATCGTTGGGGATCCCAAGAGTGGACTCTTCTGCGAGGCCGATTGAAAATGTGTACTGTCCTTATTCTTTCCAAAGAATGATAAAATCAACGATTGTACGCTAGAAGCTTGAGTGAGATTGTTACTACTGCTGCTACCACTAGAATTCATTCCTCCTCCACTATTATTGCTGCCGCTACTAGTCAAACTCTTAATCACTCTCATCAACTTGTAATAATCCATCTCTAATTCATTCACTTGTTGTACAAATTCTAATGGCTCTGTATTATGTTCCGTTTCGAGATAATTGTAAAAAGCTTTGAACATATTCTTGTCCGTAAAGATACGATGAAAATGGAAAATATAATCTTGAATAGTATTCATATTAATGGAAGAAGAGTTGGATTCTTGTTGGTTCACCGATGATGGTTGTGTATGAGAGGAAATACTTAGGGCACTTGATTTCTTGGATAACTTTTTCTTTTCCGATGATGAAGAGACTGGAATTTTGAAAACGACATCGTGAGGAGGGTTGGATGGTGAATCATCGGCTGCAACATCTTGATGGGCACTTGTTGTTTGATCTGTGGTTGTTGTCGTGGAGACTTGTTTCTTCTTTTGAAATCGGCTTAACATTCGAGCAGCTAGAGATTCTCTCCGAACCAAACTAGTGGGCTGAGAAGAAGAGGCTTGATGAGAAGAATGATCATGGGATATAGGTCTTCTGGGATTCGAAGGTTGTTGCAACAATGATGGCTGTGATTCTTCTTTCTCTTCATGGATGGATGAAACAACTCCAACAGCTGTTGAAGTAGTGGTGGGTATGGATGTTGTTTTAAAATTTTCGTCATGATGATGATGATGGCTGGAGTCATTTACAACAAGAGCAGGAATAGACTCACTCGGTGGAGTCGAATCATTGGAAAGAGTAGTTGAAGCAGAATTGGGAATAATACCTGCCGAAGAGGGTGTTGTACTCGTCGTGGTCATCATGGATGTTGTTGTTGCTGATGATGAATCAAGAACAAGTGTTTCTTCTTTTGAAACCATAAATACTTGCTGTTGAGTTGAAGAGGTCTGTGTTTCGTCTTGCATTTTGTTATATATTGTTGTTGTTGTTGTAATTGTTTTGAAACTGATTGCAACTGTTCTGCATAACAATCGAAAGTCTTAATTCGTGAATGGCTGACTGTTCATGTACAAGAATTGTTGGCAAGGCAACGGTACAAGAGTATATGGTATTAATTAGGAACATTCCATATAATCACACGATGTTGTTGTTGAATATTGTGTCAACACATTAGAAGAAATTGGAAATCAAACCATTTTTCATCATCATCGAAATTCAATACTTCTTAAATATCTTCAAAAACAACAAACCTTTTCAATCCACACTCTCTCGACAACACCAACAAGAAATTGATCTCAACAAAATCTCTCGAGATGGTCTTTTTCTAGATGTTAACACACAATTGCCCACTGCAATGATCAATATATTGGCTCCACCTTTCGAAATCAACCACACACAAAAACGTTTGTGAGATTGTCGTTAAATTATTATTATGTACTGCCAACAAGTTCACGTTCGTTGAATGCAAAATGGTGCTGAAAGGTTTTTATGAAAGCACAGATTTGTGTGGATCTGCACTGCAATTT